GGCCAATCCACCTAACCTGCACACCTTTGGACTGTGGGAGGAAACTGGAGCACCCGGAGGAAACCCATGCAGACACAGGGAGAAAGTGCAAACTTCACACAGACAGTCACCCAAGGCTGGACTCAAACACAGATCCCTGGTACTGTGGGGCAGCAGTGCTAACCACTGAGCCATCATGCCACCTGTTGGTGAACATCTCCACTTCTGACCTTATGATGGAGGGATGGTTGATGATGAAACAGATGAAGATAGTTGGTCTAGGAAACTACCCTGAGGAACTCCTGCAGAGATGTCCTGGAGCTGAGATGATTAACCTCCAACAACCACGACAACCTTCCTATGTGCCAGGTATGATTGTAACCAGTGGAGAGTTTATAAAGTTAGCTTCAACTCTACTGGAGTGCGCAAGTGGGACTTAGCGTTTTCATGTGTACCAGCGTGGATTCGATCTGTAACATGCTGTGAAGGTTGTAGTCAAAGACTATTCCCTAGTCTCTCCATTGTTGCAGGCAAAGAGGCCTGTATCACTCTGTGAGGTAGAAGTCAATTAGCTGGCAGCCAGACCAAGAGCAAAACAGGACAACAAAAGGATCTCCACAAACTTGAACTCTGGAATCCCATAATGATTGAAACATGTTCAGTATAGAATCTCAACTGATTTACAAACTGACCATGAGACAAACCATTCAACGACCAAGGTCAGCACTATCAGTAACCTCCAACATTCAAGTATTATCTTCGCAAATAACTCAGAGACAACCGTTTTTTTTTTAAAAAAACATCTATCCTTTTATTTCTAGTCTTACTTCTAACCTGCATGTATATGTGCTGCATTAATAATTCCTTCTCCTGTTTAGTAATGAATACTCTCATTCTTTGTTACCTCAAGAAAGCTTTGCTAAATTGGCCATTTTTAAAACATACAATTATGTGATGTGAGAGAAAGGTATCTACAAGGGAAAGGATCTTGTTTGAAATTAATCTTGTTCAACCAGCTAACAGGGTGGGTGATTAAAGAAGGGGAGCCACTTCATCCCATCTCTCCTGGGAACTTAACAGTTTGGGGATCCCTGTCAAGAAACTACCATGAATTGAAGAATTTTGTTCAGGCACTAGGCATGGCAGACCACAATCTCACAATGAAGCCATCCCAAAGAAGCAATGATTATTAATATAATTCAATTTTACATCCAATTTGAGGGATAGAAGAATGGGCCCAAGACTAGTGTTTTAAACTTGAATAAAGGCAACTGTGTGGGCAGGAAAGCAGAGCTTGCTTAAGTTAACTGGCACAGTAGGTAAAGGGATAGGCCAACAGAAATGTAGTGACAAACATTTTAACAGGATAATTTAGAATAAACAATAGATATATTCTTTTGAGAAAGAAAGATTTCAAGAGAATGATCTATTGTCAATGGTTAACTGAGAAAGGTAAAGATAGTATCAAATTTAAAGGAAAAAATCACAATTGCATGAAGTTCGATGATAGGTCAGAAGATTGGACAGAATATATAAAAAATTTATCAAAAATGATTGAAGGATTAAGAAGAAAAAGAAAATTAGAGTATGAGAGAAAGCTAGCTGGAAATATAAAGTCAAGTATTGAGTTTCTATTGATATTAGTAAAGAAAAGAATTAACAAAATGGATATTGGCCCAATAGAAAGTGAGTTTGGTGAGCTTATAGAAAATAAGGAGTTTCGCTGATGAATAGCTATTTTGCACCAGTCTTCACCATAGAAATTGGGAAATGGAAAGGAGGAATGAACTCCAGAAAATTGCAGTTATCAGAGAAATGGTACTGAATAAGTTGTTGGAGCTGGAGGCTGATAAATCCCTGTCTACTAATAGATTTCAGCCCAGTGTCTTTAAACTTGTTTTATTAAAATAAAAATCATTCATGGGACACGGGTGTCATTGGCTAGGTGAGCATTTATTTCCTTTCTTAATTGTTCACAAGGCAGTTACATGTCAACCACATTGCTATGTGCCTGGAGTCACATGTAGACCATTTCAGATAAGGATTGCAGGCTTCCTTCCTCAAAGGTCACTAGTGAACCAAAAGTGTGTGTGTTGTTTGTTTGACAACAATCTACTGTGGTTTCATATTTGTCAATTGGTTGAGTTTTTTTTAAAATTGCTTATTTCTCTTGATTCAAATTTCACCGTCTGCTGTCATTGGGATTTGTATCCCAAAACATTTAATCTGACGTAATGACATACTTGAAGTGTTGGATTTAAATTTTCAAAATTTCTGGAATTGGTAAGGATTCATTAGATTGAAAAGTAGCAAATATAATCCTTTTATTGTAAAAAGGGAGGGAGAGAGAAACACTGAGTCTTCAAACCAATGAGCTAGTCACCATTCAAAGGGAAGATAATAGTTTTGTTCACTTTCATATTATGTTGATATCACATTTGTGAGGAAATTAATATTTCCAAGGGGTTCAGAGTAAAGCATGGATGAAAACTAATATCACACATAATTAATACATTTGAGTGATCTTGAGGCTCAATCTCAATCCAGAAGTGGAAATTACTTTATCATTCACGTAATGATTATGATTGCTTGAGAAGAGCGCTTGAAACCTCTATTAGTTTAAAATTTACTGAGTCGCCCTTTCCCATAATCTGCTTCCAGGAATTGTTATTACTATTTAAAGACGGACACCTTTAACTGAACTTCTGCAGATGATTATTTTCAGGATGACTGGTGATCATTGAATGATAAGTTCTAAAATGCACCATGATATAACACAATTTATAACACAATTAAGAAGGAGATTTTCATAGATATTTTTAATTAACCTGTTCAGAGATCTTGGAACAAGTGCGACTTGAATCCAGGCCTCCTGGCTCAGAGGCAGGGACAATGCCACAAGAGCCCATTTGATGCAAGTAGGTAGTTTTATTTATGACAATCAAGAGATTACATGGTTGCTATTGACCTTGCTTTTTATGTCAAATTTTAACTATGGTGAGATTTGAACCAAGTTTTCAGAATATTAACATGGGTTCTGGATTATTAGCCGTATGCTACCACCACTCCATTTAGGAAAGCTGTATATCTAGATGTCCTCAGTATGTTCTGTAAAAATATATCTTGACAGTTATTAATCATACTAGAGACAGAATGCAGTAGTGATATCTGCTGGAGTTTTATTTCTATTTTTAATAAATTAGCCTATTCAGAGACATTAGGATTCCCTACTGGAGCTGGTGGGACTTGAATCCAGACCTCCTGGCTCAGAGGCAGGGACACTACAACTGTACCACCAAAGCCCTCTGCTAGCAAGTAGACTAGCTCTCTGTAATGTTCATCCAGCTGGATAGTAAGTGAGTCCCATCATTGTATCTGATCATTATTGATTGAGCAGTCCAGCAAACTCCCTGACAACATTTCCATTTGATATTTTGGTAAAGAAAAGGATGTTAATGTCAGTGTTTTAAAGTTGTTAAGTGACATGTCAAAATTAGTGTGACACAGTCAGTATACCAGGTAATGGTTAATCATAAATGTACTTTCCATATATTTTGAAATCAGCCTGTTCACAGAAGTTATTACATACCACAGGAGCAGGTGGGACTTGAACCCAGGTCTTACCTAGCTCAAAGGTAGGGATGCCACCATTGTATTTAAATAGCCCTACAATATATTTTCTAATGGTGATATCAACTCAAGTGAACCTGGTGGAAATAACACCATGTGCTTAAGGTGGACAGCCCCTGAGCAGATTAACATCGTGCTGGTAGAAATACAATAGATTTAAACCTTCATATACAGATTACCCATTTACTCCGCCACAGAAGTATAGGCTAGAGAAGTATTTTTCATTTCATGTTTCATTTCTTTCATTTCTGTTGTCTTGATGCATGTTGTTACCAAGTTAGATGAACCAATGATATAATTGTTTAATTAGAAATTAAAGTGCTGACAGATGAATGATAAACATGCATTGCATTTTTTCTAATTCAGGAGATGTGGGCTTTGCTGGCTGGACCAGCCCTTATTTCTCATCTCTAATTCACCTTGAGGCTGGTGATAAGCTGCCTCCTTGAACATCTGTAGTCCATGTGGTGTCGACCCACAATGCAGTCTGGAAGGGAAAACACAAGGCTGTCAGGGAGGGAGTGTAGCATTTTGACCCAGCGACAGTGAAGGAAAATCAATATACTTCAAAGTCAGGATGGTGAATGACTTGGAGGGAATTTGCAGATGGTGGTGTTCCCATGTATCCACTCTTCTTGCCGTTCTAGATGGCAGTGATTGTGGTTTTGTTTGGTGCTGTATAAGGAGCCTTGGTGAGTTTTTGTAGTGCATCTTGTAGATCGTACATACTGATGCTACTGAGATCAATGTGATGCCAATCAAGTGGACTGCTTTGCCTTGGATGGCATCAGACTTCTTGAGTGTTGTTGGAGCTGGACTTATCCAGGCAAGTAGGAAGTCAAATGCTGACTTGTGCTTTTTAGATAGGATAGAAGTACTTACTGCATGATTCCAAGGCTCAGACATGTTCTTATAGCCACAGTATTTGACTAGACCAATTCATTTTCTGGTCAATGGTAACCCCCAGGATATTGGTATTATAGGGCTCAGCAATGGTAATTGCCACTGAATGTCATATAGCATGTTTCTTCCTTCTTTTAAGCCTGCAGGTTCCTTTTGATAACAGTTTTTTCTGTTATTAAGTTCCCAGGAAAACAATCATATCAGCATAGCACGAAAATGAATCATTGATTTGAGTTGCATCCAAAGACTTTATGTTCTGAGGTTTTTAAATTCTGACCACAATGATGTTCACATACTTTGTTAGAGTTCATCTTGTGGCAGTGTATATTTTGAGGTGTTTGGTTTTTCAAGAGGAATATAGCTAATTTTGTCAATGTATAACAGCTTGCATATATGTTCAGTGTGACAAAAAAAGCAGGAGTATAACGAGATGTTCACTGTTCAACGAGATTGCAATCACATTTTGAATGCTTTTTACTGTAATTCAGTTTTCTTTAGGTGTATCCTTGGTATACCTCCCCTGATGATTCTTCTGATCCCAAACATCGCACTTCCTTGTAAGAACAGAAACTTAAATATGACAGAAGTAATGAATGATTTCCAGTATGTCATATTTCAAGATGTGCAGAACTTGGTAAGGAACAAAACAATTATTTGAATTTAATTTGTTGTAATTACTGCAACTGCTAGAGTAGTTTTCATAAAATACCTCCTTTTTTTTCTTTTAGTTAGGACTTTTGGCTACCAAAAGTAGTAACAACAACTGCAGAAAACCACAGAGATCAAAACCTTTTTCTTGCCTTGATGGAAAGGTAAGTTAATTTCAAGTCTTGTTTGTGCGTCACATTTTTAGTCTAATTTCCATAAACAATCAGTGCAGAAATGCCTTTTTGTGTACTTAAGACATTTGTTCTAATACTGAGAAAGATTGGCTCAGTAGTTAGAGTTTAATATTGAAAGGTAACTTCTTTGGTAGTAGGATTATTATGGATCTAAATTTGCAGACGAACCTACTGAACTTACAATTAGTACATCTCAAATTTCACTGCCGGTGTGGATGTCATCTTCTACCAGTCAGTTTGATGTCAAAGTGTTTAAATGCTTTGTAAGCTAATGTCAGAATATTTAGCTGTAACTTCCTCTTGTGTTCAGATGAAATTTATAAGAAGCTTGAAACTCTCACAGTTGTCCAATTGCTTAATACAACTACGTAGATTGACTGCACAATTGAGTATGTTACCCATGCTCTGTCATAACATTCTTATGTTACTGACTAAAATGTTTCAATTTTTGATTCTATCAGCTGAAATACTCTGTGCAACTCTGGTTGTCACTGGAGTTCTTCAGTTTCAAACACCTTGTATAAGCCTGCAAAATACTTGGAAAAATATTATCCTTGAAACACGGAACAGCAATACAGTTGCTAAACAATTGAGGTAGATGTTGATTAAGAGCTTGAATGTTTTTCTAGCAATTATGTTTGACACTGCATTCATGGCAAAAAAAAACTAAATGTTACAATAAAAAACAATAAAGTTAGTGTTCTGGAAGAATAAGATCAAAGTGGACTAAAGGATAGTCTTTGTCCAAACATCGTGTGATGCAGTAATTCCATAGCTGCACAGTATTTAGTTCAGATAATAAGCTGAATAGTTACATCACTAGATTGCAGTCTCTGTTTTCAATTCATTTTATAGTGTGAAACACTTACTGATAATATATTCTACATTGTGCTTTATTTTAGGAAATTCATTCAGTCCACCGCTTGACGTGTTCTGTGCTTTATATTTCTAAACAAAATAACTTTGACTTTAATCAGGAGATAATAATCTTATCCAAGCGAACTGAAAAAACATTGAAATGTAGTTGCAATCATCAAAAGGTATGTCAGCAAGATTTGGTCATATAGCACTTTATCAAATTAGTCTAAGTTTTCTTAAATCTAAACAGACTTAGATACCCTTTACATGATGTTAAGGATGCATCATTTAGTGGGATTGAATACTTTGCTCTGGGTCTTTGTTACAGCAGAAGAACTTTTTACCATGTGGTGCAAACATGTCTCTACACCTGGCTGCCTTAGCATAGTATCTACTACTATTTGGAAATTCATCTAATTTTCTCATATCAATTTATACAATCCCCTTCCTCAGTCTCCAACATGTTTTGAGTTAGAAGGTCATGGGCTCAAGCCTTAAAAGAGAACTGAAGGATATTTGCCAAATTTGGGCTCCTAGGAAATTAATGGCATTACAACTGCGTATCTTGGCTCCTGATGAATGGGTGTGGAATTAAAAATCCCTCTATATTCTTGGCTGAGGGTCTAATGCAGTATTCAGGAAGTGTTACTTGTAAAACTTTATACCATTTGGAATGTAGAAACATAGGAACAGAAATATGCCTTTCAAAGTTTTGATACTGTACTGCCATTCTGTTAGATAATGGCTGATCATCTACACTTCCTGTACTATCCCTTGATGCAATTAGTATCTAGAAATTATATTGATTTCTATCTTCAAACATACTTGATAATTGAGTTTCCCTCTGGGATAGAGAATTCCAGGTATTCACCGCTGAGTGAAGAAAATCTTCTTCATCTCAGTCTGCCATGCCTACCCTTAGTCAAGACCATGTGACTTGGTCCTAGACTCATCATCCAGGAAAACGATCTTATCCATATCCAGGTTGTCAGACCCTGTAAGGGTTCTGTAAGTTTCAATGAAATTGCATCTCATTCTTTGCCATTGTAGAGAATACAGGCCTAGTTTCCTCAGTGTCTCCTTATAAAACAGTCCCATCATCCAAGTGATTAGCTGGTAGACCTCCGTTGAACTCCCTCAAAGCCAAGTATATCTTCCCTTAGATGGACAGACAAAACTCCATGCAGTGCTCCAGGTGAGGTCCTACCTAGGCTCTATATGATTCCAGAAAGATATATTTACTCCTGTACTCAAATCCACTTGTATTGAAAGTCAGTGCACCATTTGCCTTTCTATTTGCTTGCTGCAGCTCCAAATTGGCTTTTAATAACTCATGAATAGGGATACCCAGGTTCCTTTAGATATCATCACTTCTCAACCTCACACCATTTAAGATGTGCTTTAGTTCCACTTTTTCCTAACAAGTGAATAACTTCACACTCATTCTATCTGCTCTGTTCTTGCCCATTAATCTCGCCTGAGTTCCCTTAAAGCCTCCTTGTATCCTCCTTACAACTTAGATTTCCACCTAGTTTTGAGTCCTCAACAAATTTGATAATATAGTATTTAATTCTCACATCCAAATAATTTCTATAGGTTGTGAATGACTGTGGCCACAGCTCTGTTCCTTGTCAACAGCCTGCAATCTTAGAATGGCCAATTTATTGAATATCTTTTATCTTTTGAATATAATATTAAACTGCTAATGGTACAGATGGAAAACATAAATCCTATGACACTACTTAGAGAAGGACAGTTCTTCTGAAGATAAATATTCCCTTCATAACAAACACTGCCAAGAACAGAACAAGTATTTCTGATCCATCTCATTGCAAGCAGTAAATATTGGTAACAGTCAATATAGTGTGGAGCTGGAGGAACACAGCAGGCCAGGCAGCATCAGAGGAGCAGGTAAGTTGAGGTTTCAGGTTTACATACTTCATCAGGACTGGGGAGGGGGAAGGGAGCTGTGAAGTAGAGGGGAGGGTGGGGTGAGGGGAAGGGAGATGAGAAGATGATAGGTAGATGCAGGTAGCGGGTAGTGGGGATTGGTCAGTGGGAAGGGTGGGGCAAATAGGTTGTGTCAGGTCACAGAGGCGGGAATGAGAGGGAGGGTTGGACATGGGATGAGGCCAGGGGTGGGGAAATTTTGAAGCTGGTGAATTCTATGTTGAGGTCATCGGGCTGTGGGCTCCTGAAGCGAAATATGACATGTGGTTCCTCCAGTTCGTGG